GACACCAGAAATGGGCTTCACACATTGTACCCATGTCGGGAATCGAACCCGGGTCTTTGGCATGACGAGCGAACGCTTTAACCACTAGGCTACCCGACCGCCCCAGGTTTGGGTGAGCTACCAAAAAGAAAGTCATCCAAAAAGTGAAGTAATGCCCCTTGTTTCAACCTGCGTTGAGTAGCCCAGTGCATAAAACTTGCTACTTTTACAAACACTGCAAACAGCTGGTGCAGTGCTTCGCCGACGTCGCTACCCCCTCGCTGAACGACTTTCCTCTTTCTGCCAGACCCTCTAGTCTGAACAACTAGCCCTGCCTGCCGACCCTGAGGATCTTGGTATACCCTTTTCCCGTGGCATATCGAACTGGCAGACTGTTAATCTTGATATAAAATGGCTAAATTGCTTAATTGCGGAGCGTGCAAAATGTGTTGTGTCTGTCTTTAGCGCAACATGAACGGCAAGGATTAACAGGTGACAACTGCACGTTAATTAGACAGAGTTACCCCCCTTTCCCCATAGAATGAAACCGGTAGTAGACTTCAACTACTATAGAATGCCGCTGAAGAAATCGTCACAAGAACCCGCAGATTTGAACATATAACCCCGATTCTAGAGAACCTACACTGGCTGCCGATACGTGCACGCCTTGACTACAAACTTCTCCTCTTTGCCTACAAATGTGTGAACCATCTAGCTCCAGTCTACTTGACAGAACTGATTCCACCTTACAAGAATGTGCGCTCTCTGCGGCCCCAAAATCAGCTTCCTCTAACATTGCCACCTGTGAAGACGTCATCATTCTCATAATCTGCATGAGATCCTTCGCCTGCACAGCAAGCTCCAAGTGGAATGAACTCCCTCTCTCCATAAAGACTTCGTCATCACTCTCCTGCTTCAAGAAAAACATCAAGACAGACCTGTTGAAAATACTCTCAATGACTATAAGTTTCTTTGCAGCGCACAGATAACTTATGCACAGTGAATGCTGCGCTATACAAATGTAAATATTATTATTAGGGTTCTATGCCTAAAAGGCAAGGAAGGGCCCTATTGTAATCGTTCGATTTAGGGCTCTAAGCCCATGCTTGACTTAAGAGGCGATTATCGGGATCGGGTGGTCGGGCTCCCTGAATTGCTACTTAATTTCCCAATTGCCAAATGCTACCGTACCTTACTTTTGACGGCATTGTTAAAAGCAAACCATTTGAGGATTCGAGCATGAGAATTTGAGATGGGTTGAGAACAGCCTTGGACACCCAGCAAATGAAAATGTCATAGCGGCGATGTCCACAACCGGTGCTTACATTTGACGGCGTTGGTACAAGCAAACCATTTGAGGATTCGAACATGGTCGAGGTCAAACATGGGTTTAGAAGGTAAAGGGTACACCCCGGAACCATCAATTTCATAGCGGCGATGTCCCGCAAGCGCTGCATTCATTAAACGGCGTTGGCGTCGGCGTTTTTTGGTCCAATCATAACTCAAAAACTACAGCTCAGAATCTCTTCAAAATTTGCACGAAGATTCCCAATGTCTTGAAGCAGATACACAAAAATCCCAAGGCCGTAGGCCCAACGACCAAGGGCGGATAACCAAAAAACAAGTATTTTTTTAAGATTTATTTTGCCCTATTGCTCCCCAACCTCTTATCCGATTACTTTCAAAATTTGCATGTGTTAGCTGCTTTAGGTGCTTTTGTGTTCTGTGACTTTGGCCATTGGTAACGTGGTTTAGTAGCCATATTAAATTCAAGGTTTTCACAGTGTTTTTTGGGTACATGTCTTCTAAAGCATAGAACTCTGAATCCACTAAATGAAATGCTTACAAACATTCTGAGAATTGTCACCATTCACAACACATCATAACTGTAATAGCTGTCATTGGATAACTCTTCTAGTTGTGGCCATATTGGATTTTGATTTTGATCATTTTTTACACCGACATTTTAAAGGTCATATCTTGTAAGGTTCTTGACAGAAACTATTGAAAGTTTGTATGGAGTTAGTTTCACATATGTACCTCATTTTTTTTTTCTTGGTTGCATGCTAAAAATAACATCGCTTGCTTGTCTTAAGAAGCCATTATCGGGATCGGGTGGTCAGGCTCCCTGACTTGCTACTTCATTTCCCAATTGTCAAACGCTGTCGTACCTTATTTTTGACGGCATTGTTAAAAGCAAACCATTTGAGGATTCGAACTTAGTCTAGGTGAGTGAGTTAAGATTTAACGTCACATCGGCAGTATTTTAGCCATATCGTGACGATGGTCTAGGTTGGAAATGGGTTTTTCAATTTTGTAGCGGTTATGTCCTGCAAAACGGTGATTATCTTTTGAATGAGAGGGTACTAGCAAACACTTTGACGATTCGAACATGAGGATTCGTGGTCGGAGATAGGTTTAGAACAGCCTTGGACACCCGGCAAATGAAAATCTCATAGCGGCGATGTCCGCAACCGGTGCCTACATTTGACGGCGTTGGTACAAGCAAACAATTTGAGGATTCGAACATGGTCGAAGTCAAACATGGGTTAAGAACTCACTGGGACACATGTGGTGATGTCTCACAAGCGATTCCTTACATTTGACGGCGATTGTACAAGCATACCATTTGAGGATTCGAACATTGCCGAAGTCGGAAATTGATTAAAACACCATTGGACACGCAGGCACAATTTCGTAGCGGCGATGTTCAACAAGCGCTGTATTCATTAGACGGCGTTGGCACAAGCAAACCATGTAAGGATTCGAAAATGGTCGAGGTCGGAAATGAGTTAAGTAGCCCTCTGGCACTCCGGCAAAGGCCAATTTTGTATCGACAATTTTCTGCAAGCGGTGACTATCTATTGAAGGCGTTGGTACAAGCAAACCATTTGAGGATTCGAACATGGTCGAGGTCTGAAATGTGTTTAAGACACCCTGGGACCCTCCTGCACATGCCATTTCAGTAGCGGTGATATGCCGCAATCGGTGCCTTCATATTTATGGCAGACGGCGTTGGCCCAAGCAAACCATTTCAGGATTCAAAAATGAACGAGGACTGAAATGGGTTGCGAACACCCAAGGATGCTCCGGCACCCACCAATTTCGACAAAACGGTCCAGTGAAAGATCAAATTATTAATTACATTATATAATTCGAATGTGCACTGTATTTATAAAGTGGATTCAAGTAGGCTCGAACTAAATGACTCAGTGGTATGAGAAATCATAGAGCCCGACATCGCTGTTAGGCTCATCATCAGCTCAGGGCCCTTGCCCCCTCTACACGCAGCCTAGACAGCGAATGGGACTTCTCCCAGGTAGCGCTGCCTAGTAAAACCCACCCAGAACTTTTCGGAGAATGTGTTTACCAATTGGTAAATATAAGCGATTGACGGAAGAGCGAGGGTGGTGGAATCTATTGTCTAACATGGTTTTCGTGTGAGGGTGTCAATACTCTGAATTTCTGGTTTCGTCCACTCAACAACACCAAAAGAATACGAAAGGACGGGCACAGCATAAGTACTTGTGGCTTTGACTTTATTGCGAGCATTCAACTCTGAACTCCAGATTTTCTTTAGTCTACATTTGTACTCTGCCCGATGTTTGCCCTTGATATGAGCATTCTGGAGTTTGTCCCTAATCTGCATCCCTAAGTACGTATAGGCCGGCTGACCTTCCACAAGATGGTCAATAACACCTCCTCCAAGTATAGTGACTGAGCCTCCCTCTTCTACCTTGCCATGTTTCAAATGAAGAATGTTGCATTTGTCGAGTCCTAAGGACATGCCGATATCATTAGAAAAGGACTCGTCAAGGAGAATCTGTTTTTTAGTGTAGATCCTCGAGCTCCATTGGCAATAAGTTCAAGGTCATCCATGTAAAGGAGGTGAGTAAGGGGTGTTGGGGATCTGTGCTTAGGAGGTCCCGGGTGATAACCTTCCTCTTTGCTGAGCAAAGGATTTAGTGACAAACAGAAGAGCAAAGGGCTAAAAGAATCGCCATGAAATATTCCTCTTCTGATAGAAATGGGTTCCGAAGTCACCACCTGCCCCTGCGAATACATCTCAAGTTGAGTTGACCAGCAATTCATTAAAGACTTGAGTAAAACAAGTAGTTTCAATTCCAGTGACCTCAAAATCCATTATTATTATTATCATTATTATTATTAGTATTATTAGTATTATTATTATTATTATTGAATTTGATTATTATACTAATGATATAATACACTCAGCCTCACTCACAGTCCTAAGGCAGGGCGGGACAACTTAGGAATGGCCAGGAGTCCGAACTTGACCACACAGAAGGAAGCGAGCTACAAAAACATGTTTTATATCATTGGAAAGCTCTCGAGGAGTCGAATCCAAATAATGTGTGTCCCAGTGTGTTCACATGTTCATAAGCTCAAAAATTGGCTCAGAAAATGCATTACTGCAGAAATTTCTGGCCGAATTTTTTTTTTCTGCAGAAATTTCTGGCAGTATTTTTTTTTTTCTACAGAAATTTCTGGCCGAATTTTTTTTTTTCTACAGAAATTTCTGGCCGAATTTTTTTCTGCAGTAATATTTAGCAGAATTATTTTAATTAAGGAGAAATAAGATTCAATCATTGGATAGTTTGAATTGAATTCAGCAATTGAAGATATTTATCTTGGTATTATATTTACCAAATTTATCAAGAAAAGTTGACGTCACTCGAATTAAACAATGGAACAACATGTTGGCCTCATACCTTTGTATACTAGACAGATGCAAATCATTGAACCTTGAGCTTACCCTATAATTATCTAAATTATTATGAGAATTTCAGTGACCATCTTCAATGGCCTTTTGACGACTTTGAAGTGTACAACATTAAAGGTGAATGTGATTCTCAAAAAATAAATTTCATAATTATTCCATGGGGCCAACCAAATATATAATCCCCAGTTGGAATTCAAAGAAACAACCTACATGTGATATACGGTACTCTGAAAGTAGGTTAACTTCAGACATCGAAAAAAATAGAACACAACCAAGATTTTACAATATAACTGCATATATTGTTTCGTAAATTTCATTGTGCACATCTCATCTTATATATGTATATATATATACAATTCTAAATACACAGCTTTACTAAGAAACAAAAACATACAAAGTACAAAACTCCTGCAATGCAATCCTCGGCAATATCTCAGCCACATAGCTTAGACAAAAAATATGTTCATTTCAGCAAAACTTGCTGCTCCTTCTTTATTGTTCTGATACTGACGCTTGTCTTCGGTGCTTTGTCAGAGTGATCTGAAAGTAAAGAAAAAAATGTAAAGAATATGAGAACATAATTAAAATCACAGTGCATCTATACAATAAAAGCAAAAATAGTAACCTCATGAAGTTGGGTTGTTTCTCTGCCCACATTACACATATTCTAAGTAACGCTGACTAACCCTAATATTACACATCACAATACATATTTCAAAAGAAATGCAATATTTATTGAAATCACCTTTGATTGTTTTTGCAGTTTTTCATTGTTCTTCTCTATTGCCTCTTGAACTTTAGTTGGGAGGGTTGTCGCTTCCCTTGGGGCAGGCATGAAGGGCTTGAAGTCTGATAGCTTGGTGGTGGGCGTCCGGATGTCCCCAATCTTGAAGGAGGGCATCGCGGGTTGTTGCAGGCTTCTGTCTAAGTTCCCTTGCACTAAACACTAAACAGTTGATCCAAATCTTCATGCGTGTGCCCCACCATGAGAAAGAAAGTTTCACCTGAAAATAGTATTTACATCAGTATTATCACTATGAAAACAAATCAAATTGTACAAAACTTGTTTATTTTTACAGAATATTGATTTGAATATTGAGAGAAAAATCAGTCTTGTGCATTTAAAAAGTTTCAACATTGTGTGCAGATTCTTTTATACTTAGGATGAGCAACTGGACATGAAATACTTGCTTCAAAACAATTCTAATGTGGTTTAAAACAATTTACATAAATTATAAAAATATTAACCACATGTGACTTCAGCATTTACTTTGAATTGTATAGTATAGCCTCAAGGAATAAATATGCTATACATGATATTGTATGTGGAGTCATATACCAATAATTTCATTGATAACTATCTTCATGATAGCACTAAAAGTGATACCTTGGATTGCAGCGTCCACTTTTGACTGGCCGACAAAGTCTTGCAGCTTTACTGGTCCTGGAAATGTCAAATAAATATTTGAACAATACATAAATTGCAACTTTAATGTAATTGGATAGTCATACAAATATAACAATTGCCAATTTCCATTCTCAAAAATCCACAATTCCTCCAAAATTAGACAAGACTACCAGACAAACATTGAATTTATTCAACAGGCCCGTACCAAGCATTTAGCTAAGACAAAGATAAATTTCTATCCTTCTAAACGTGTGTTACAAATATAATGTACAAACAAATGTCTTGACATACATGGCACGATCCCATTACAAAACAAATCCCATTACATCCTTTACTAATAATATTGGACAAACTACAATAACGTAACCCATATATGTGCACTGTGGATACTAAGCTCCACTGGTTTCTAAATAAGAATCTACATAACTCCCTACCAATAGGATATGTAGACAGTAATATATGTTTTGGTTTGGTTTGTTGTTTACCGCCGCATTCAGCAATATTCCACCTATATGACAGCGGTCTGTAATTAATCGAATCTGGACCAGACATTTCAGAGATTCATATCATGAGCATCAATGCAGGTCAGCGAGCCTGACCACGCAATACTGTTAGTCGCCTCTTAAGACAAGCATAGAATTCACTGGGGGATTAGTGCACTTTACCGGGCGCACTTTTTCAGATCCAATTAGAGCTGTTGGGGCTCGAACGCGCTTCGCCGACTCACCGGCTCTGCTAATTAATGCGTTAATTAGCCGACGCTCTACCACTGGACCACAGGCGCTATCATTGTAATCAGTGCTCGTTTAACAGGTCATTAGAATCACCATTGACATGCATGTGTAATTGAGTAAACAATGAATTGCGCATGCGTGTGACGTCACGGCCCGCTTTCCCATTCATCTTTTCTTGAAACCACACCCGCAATTGTTTATGTCAACAACCAATGGGATTAACTGAATTAACGCTTGAAAAAGTAAAAATTTATGGCTAACCCTTGCCCAAAGCCAGCTAACCCTAATGACCGAAAAACGGGTGTTGGATCGTAAAGACGTGTAAGTTTCCCTAAGACCTAGAACGGGTGTTTGATCGTAAAGATGTCTAAGTTTCCCTAAGACCGAGAACGGGTGTTTGATTGTAAAGATGTGTAAGTTTCCCTAAGACCGAAAACGGGTGTTGGATCGTTAAGCGAGAGTCACCAGAGCGTGAGGCACGGTAACGGTATAACGAGACAGCGTGGCACTATAGCGCGGTAATTGAGCGGATGGTAGAGCTCGGGCTGCGCCCGGTAAACTGCATTGTTGCCCAGAAATTCGAGAAGAAAATTCGCGAAATTCGATATCGACATGTCCTCTCAAAACGAAGAAAGGGTTCTATCACTAGGTCCACGCGAGAGTATGTCTCGTAAACTTGCCTAGCCCTACGCCTACTGTTAGCATCACCGAGTAGACCGAGCCACCCACCAACTCGCACCCTAATTAAGTCATGGCCCTGTGGGCAACGAGGGCAACACTTACCTGGTATACTACGTACGTAACACCAATATAATGCCACGCGAAGCCATATATATATAAAGGCTACACAATCCGCGTATGTTCGCAGAGCCCTGGCTCTTCCGCTCTTCCTTTCCTAGCTCATGTTGACATTTTGATAAAAAAAAAACATGCACCGTGCTTTGATTCCGAAACGAAATTTAAATTGGCAACACAGTCGGTGGTGGTAAAAAAACCCAGCGCAACGAAGCCGATGGAGTACCTCACCCCTACATTTGCCGTACCAGTTTATTTTCGCGTTCGTAGCTCAACTCTACCTAATAGTGCCGATGCAATAAATGAACTATAGTTAACGACATTGCACATAAGCATTACTTACCAATTTCAGTGTTTTTCCTTTTGGGCAGATTTCTTGAAGAAAGATGTCTGCCTTGACTGTTGATGACGTTGGTAAGATCTGTAATAGGGTAGCAACATGTTCAGTGAATATGTTCATAAAGAAACCATGACCCAAACAGAAGGCAAAGGTTCTTCAAGATATATACAGTGTTTGGTGTACAAAAATAGAATAAAATGCCTTACCCATGTCAACGTTGTTGAAGCAGAGCTGGTGAACCCTCCTCAAGGCATCCAGAGCTTCTCACTGCGACCAGAACTTTCGATGTGATTTACCGACTTGTTGAATAGTTATCGTTTGATCGTCTGACAGAACGTTCTCGACGATTTAACGATATTTAACGATACCTGATTAGGGTTAAATCTATATATACCATTTTTATGGTCGGGCGTCCACGGCTGATTGGTATATCAAATCAAACACAAGGGTGTATATCATGCCCCTGAGTGTTCACGCCTCACTGGGTGGTCACGTAATAAGGTGTGGCACCAGCATCTCGGGTTACAATTTGATATTAATTCAAGTACTCCACTGATAATGTACATAGGTAGTTAACTTAATTACATTCAGTTTTGTCCGACAAGGAGCGAGTTTACTTTTTTTTAGACACAGACTTTGTAACAGGCTCTTCCCCTGGAAACACATATATTGTAAATAAATATTTTGCCGTTTCCATCAACTTTATCACGTGATGTTCTATAACTGTTGTCTTGTACACTATCCATAGTGTAAGTCAGCTGGCTCGAGGAATTTTCATATAGTATTATCATTAACCAACATACCCTATGCAACAGTTATGTTGCTACCCAGACAAAACTATTTTTATATTCTATGTTAAATGTAAACGATCAGTTTTTATTATAAATACAAAACCACCTTTTAAGCGGTAATACCTATCACGCATTAAACAACATATATGAACAACCATGTGATTATAAAGTCTCACGTTGGTTCCTCCGTGCAACTTCATGCCTGACTTACATTCATATTGTTCTTTCACCACACTTACGCTTCTCCAAATTTAGAAAGAAGCTGTGTACACAGTGTTCTTGCGAGTTACAATAACGCGTCCGGTTTGGCGGCAACTTCAAAGAGTGGACATATGGTTGCTCCTTCAGGTAGCTATAATTACCCTCTCTATAATGCAATGTCGTATTATCCATTTGTAATGAATGATAGTAACACTAAATCGGATTGGATTCAGTTAAATCTACATTTCTCAAGGTCTCTAACATCGAGATTTGAAATATCTTTCATGTAATTACCTTCTTTGTCATGTGACTTGTATATATTCGTGTATATTCAGAATCGTGCCTACGCACAATGTCTTTGAACAATGGCACAAGCAACGTGGTCTCTTTCTGTAAAACATAGCACTCTTTATTTCAGCCACAGCAAAGATCCCGAACCACGTGCAGTCAGCAGAGTTACAGCGTCTGGTAACCGTCTTGCAGTTACGACACAGGTAAGACGTCAAAATATTTATTGTTTTATTTCTGGAAACGCCGACCCTAGAGCGTGGAATTTTGGTACCACGGTTATTTCATATAACAACAACCAAATAACAACCTGTACTCCGAACAGTGAATGTGTGGCTCTGCTGCCATGCGAAACGCGTTTTGTAAGAGTCTAATTTTAGTGTATTTATTTCTACCACTTTTGATAAAAATACGCAAACAATCTAATCTGAAAAGGAGATATCTCCATCCCCTATGGTGTTATTGCGACTTGTATACTGTCTACATGTACATTAGGCAACTTATTGTAGCTGTATGGCGACACTTGTAGTGTATCTATGTGACCATGAATTTGCCTGTGGTGATCAGTGAAAGTGAAAACACGGAAAATTACAAAATACCAATCCATGCAGTATTTTGATGATTTACATGCGAGTTTTCTATTATTTATAACGTTAGAAATATTTAGATAAAAATAACTTTATAGACCCTATGTTTATTAATATAACAAATTGTTGTATTAATGTTTTCCTAAAATAAACATATATATCATCTTTTCTTATTGCCCCATCAAAGCTGGTGCTGAGACAATATAGAATACCCAAACGACGCATATTGTACGTGCCGTGCCGCCAGACTTCCTGCCAACTTGGCAATTAAATATCCTCGGGTATTGTCACTTCATACGGTGATACATTGTCTCGCGCACGTGGTCGGTGGGTTTTGTCTATCAGCGCCACGATCACGTGATCGTTTTGTTAATTACTCTGTGTTACGGTCTCGCCGATCCTAAACTTTCAAAGCCTTCAATAAAATTTATGAGATCATTATCTTATCTTTATTCCGACTGAATCCACCTTTATTTCAGACGCCCCCTCACACACACACTCCCAATGCAAATTCACTGAGGCTTGACCGTTACCAATTAACAGCTGTCAATTAAACAGTTCTAAGTAGTATGTTATCGAATATATTGAAAACCTTTAGCGTGCTACTTTAAGGGAGGGGGGGGGGGGGGGGGGGGGGGGGGGTTAAAGGAGGGTGTTGGTTGTTCACAGGGTTACTCGACAATCACAATGTATACCGGTATTTCAATAATTGTATGATATATTTAGTCCTTGGGCAGCCCCAATCTAAAAACAACAATAAAATCCGAACTCTCACCGACTCCCTTAGTGGACTAAAAGCCCTCCAAAACAAAAATACCAAAAAACGACCTAAATTAATAAACCAAATACTTAAAAGCTCCGACGACCTAACAAAAGCAGGCAAACAAATAACCTTCTTGTGGATCCCCGCCCACGTAGGAATTTACGGCAACGAAAGCGCCGATAAAGCAGCTAAATTATCTCTCAAAATACCAGTAATAAGCCTAAACCTACCCATCTCAAAATCAGAAATTAAAAGTGTAAACAAACAAAAAATAACCATAAAATGGCATAATCAATATCAAAACTCAAATAGCCAAATCAAAAAAGTGCTCAGAAAACCACTAGCCAAAACCTAAAATCCTACACCTCTCTAAAAAAATTGACAGATTTATTACAAAACTCCAAACAGGACACACGAACCTAAATAACCACCTAAAAAAACTTAAAAGACACATCACAGGCAACTGCCCCGACTGCAAACAACCCGAAACCACAGAACACGCACTCATCCACTGCACCCACTACCAAACACACAGAACCACACTACAAACCACCCTCAATCTAAATAAGGTTCCTACTCTAGATGAAATACTAAACCCTCAAAACTTCAAGGCCCTAGGCGTATTCCTAATCAAAACAGACCTAATTAAGCGCATCTAAAAACCAATTTTTCCACCAATCCAAAATCCAATAAACATACAAACACCCACCTCACCCGGCTCCCTTAGTTCCCTCCTCCACCCACCTCGGCATTTATTCCAAATTTAAAAATTCCACAACTTCAATATAAGCAACCCCTAAAACCCCCCTCTTGGGTTGCACACATCACTTTCACCCTTTTCGGAATACAATAAATGGTCCGGCCAGTCCCGTGTGCGAAATACGCTACAGTCGGAAAGCGCACGTTAAATCTCCTATATCAGTCAGTCAGACCCCAGTGTTTCATATCATTTTCCCACCAAACTAAAAAAGAATAACCCCCAACTGGATATGTTTCGTTTCGTCTGTCGATTCATATTTTGGAAGGGGAACCACTCCGGCTTATGCAGCACACACATTTGGGAAGGTTGCTTCAATAATAATAATTCTTCTTACCATGGTTTCACAGTCGTTCGGAACTTTTTTAAGATCTGACATCAGATTATGCTGTCCGAAAAGACAGGCCTATCGGAAATTCGAACTTGAACAGCAACGCCAAAACCACATTCCGCCGCAGTGACCAGCTGCTGATGACATAGACTAGGCTAGCTTTACACTAAGTCTTGTACCAGGCTGTCCCCTCTGGGTAGTAGGTCTGGTCTCTCCTTTGTCCTTGGACCCCCTTTCCGATCATAAGGCTTGAGTACCCCTTGCCAATGAAACACGTGTTTACCATCCTTTTACCTTAGAGCACCCATTTACGACACATGGGGTTAGTTTTGAGTTCGGTTATGGTTTAGAAGTCTCTTGATATAAACATATTTATTTCCATAAAGTGGAGGGATTGGCAAACATGCAAATTTTGCTTATCTGAATGCCTCTCCCAAACATGATACATAAGTCTCTTTTAACGAATTAATACAATTTAATTTTCGCAGTATACTCATCCTTATATAATTTCAGCTTCATGACAGTGTGAACACTGAGTGCCCCCTACACAAGTATGTAGTCACTGACAACTTATGGAGTGACCTATACAAAACGGAAGATGCAGACGACTAGCACAAGCACGCACGCACACACACACTCACACGCACGCACGCACATGCTATATAAGTGCAATTATCTTGGACGCGACATTCAACCCAATTTCAACTCACCTCACTTACCTTAATTTGTTCATGTGCCTAAAGCTTGTGGAATGTGTCAATTACTGAAATAAGCATTTTAATGTTTTTTTCATATCTTTTCAGAATATGTGCACATAGCTTTCAATGACCAGACGAAAAAAAGAATTCATTTCAAGTATGTTGAGAAGAAAACGTAAGTAAAGCACACTATTTACATTCATAATACATTTTATTCCGCAGGCTCTATTGTAAAGTTAAACTCTAGCTGCGTATAGGCTGCCATTATCCATTATATTAGACAATATGGATCCACTCATCTATACATCTATTTTCTTTTGTGACAGGACCCATCTCTGAAAAAATCACCTCACCCAAGAAAATACGACTCATTCATGAGAATGAAAAGTGCAAAGTCTCCCAAGTAATTGTCTTGTAATATAGCATGTGAATAAATATTTTTTTGAAATATCTCACGAAATTAGTTTTATTTTATTGCTTGTAATCATGTGAACTAAAAATGTTTGTTTTGAGGAAAAAGGTCATTTGAAGCATCTCCAGGTTAAACTATCCAATGATTGAATCTTATTTCTCCTGAATTAAAATAATTCTGCTAAATATTACTGCAGAAAAAAATTCGGCCAGAAATTTCTGTAGAAAAAAAAAAATTCGGCCAGAAATTTCTGTAGAAAAAAAAAATACTGCCAGAAATTTCTGCAGAAAAAAAAAATTCGGCCAGAAATTTCTGCATTAATGCATTTTCTGAGCCAATTTTTGAGCTTATGAACATGTGAACACACTGGGACACACATTATTTGGATTCGTCTCCTCGAGAGCTTTCCAGTGATATAAAACATGTTTTTGTAGCTCGCTTCCTTCTGTGTGGTCAAGTTCGGACTCCTGGCCATTCCTAAGTTGTCCCGCCCTGCCGTAACAGTTATTATTTTACGAGGGTGGCTTGCAACCTCGTGTTTTCTCCTCGTATATCTTGGTTTTTAGATCATGGATTGATTTTGTTCAGTAATGCACCTGTTTATATCTCCATATGTAAAACAAATCCAGGCATGAGATATTGGGGAAATTAATTTTGATTAATCGAATGATAATCGTGATTTGCTACTTTTAGTTGTAGATTGAAAGATTAATGTTTACTTCTGTATTTAGTAGTGACTGAAATGGGTGGTTTAATACCCCGATGCAGTGTGTCAGCTTCTGGGGAAAAAATACTGTCTGGTGCCAAACAAATGGCCAAGCTTGGTCAAAACATGGCAAGTGGTTTGCTTCATGACACTTGAGTTAGAAGAAGCAAATAACTGGAATTGAAATGACATGAATCTACATGTAAGAAGCCAATTTTGCCTATCCTGTCTGCATAGCTATTTTTTAGTAAAATGTATTATGCAACAACTGCAATTTCCAATGTTTTCACTGTAATGGTGCTAACATGCAAAGATCATAGTGGCTGTCGTCAACCTGTTGCTAACAGCCACAACTCTCCCAAGTGAGATGTGACGCCTTACTACAAAAGAACTTCAATGAAATAATGTGTGTTATGTCAGTGTATCATGGTTACACGATATTTCCTAATACGATCTGGGTTTCTGGATACAACGCATTCTTTTCGTTTGACCGATCCCTCTTATTTCGATCTATGAGTATGAATATACCGGCATGATCTGCAGAATAGAGATAACAATGAAACGCAATCGGCCCCGTTAAAAAACTGGTGAATCGATATTAGTATTACGACAATCCCGAGTTGCTGGGAACCTACCTATTCTGATCTGGAATCCCACAGTGGATGTCACAAAGTGATTGTAGAACACTCACTGTCATACTCCACTTTAACATAGACTTAACACAGTATTAGTGATTTTACATCCAAGTGTCATGTAATTTATTTTCTCCGTTCATCTATGAAAAATAGTATCTTAATTTATCTGAATGACATTAAAGAGTCGAATATAATCGCGTAAGATTCCTTTCTCTTGCTATATGTACGGTAAACGAAATTTCTTGTGACACGTGATAAACTTATCACACACACAAAAAAACAATCGCTGATAAGGTTTGCACAGCGTTTATGTTATTCATTGGTTTCATACACCTTAGGAAAGATGTTTCGCTGGATAATCAAAAGAGTTACAACAAAACGTATTTTGAGTGAGTATATCAAGCACATTTCTCGTAGTATTATCTACCTGGATATACGTCCACACATATAAAAGTTTCCTGTTACTATGTGGACTTTATTTGGCTCGTGTAATCCTCTGTAATTCATGATGAAATTGTTCCATATTCATTTTCACTTTATCTATATAGTTCACAATCATGTCTTTTTCAAGACTCTTATATATGCATAAATAAAACAAAATGCGGAGAAACCATCGACAAATCAGCTTGTATGTTGTACATAAACATTGTGAAAAGACACTAAAAACGCATTTACAGGAAGCCCGTCCAGTATCAATCAATTATTAACAAACATTAACAAAGCCCATTGAACCCTATCAGGAAAGGTAATAATCTTGTATCATTATTTTACGAATACAAGGCAAATATTTTAATAAGGTTTAATCATAGTTTAACTCAGTAAAATATTAATTGCTGAGAGGATTGCTTGATAAATTCAAAGCCTCACACACAAGGAATTGGGTGATGGTGAAATATTTTATTGTGGACATGAATTGATGTCATAGACATTTATCCACAAACCCCTGAGTAAATTGAGAGAATGGTTTCCCTGCGACAAGTCAGTAAAATAAGCAAGGCTTTGTGACCTTTCGATAATGATCAAACTTGAGGGATGTGCAGTGATCATGTACTTGTGGTTACATGTATTCTGTTCATCAGCACACAATGCTTTATAATATTGGTTCAAAGTTAATGTTTTCTTCAATCAGTTATTTCAGTGTTAAGGCCTCTGGCTCAAGTACAATTAATACAATGAAGCCATTTCGAACATGAACGCAACGACAAATATTTACAATTGTGAAGATCGGAGTTTGATGGCACCTTTGATGTAATGTGCTAAAAAAGTTAGAATGCTTACTTCAGAGGACTGATATTAACATATGCGAGGCATATGAACATAAAATTGATTTCATTTTTAATTACATGTTTACATGTTTTTGTCAATTATGTAAAATTGACAAAAAAAGTCATATCGATGCCCTTTCTTTTCCCGATATCATGCATCATTTACAATTCACCAATCCTTAATAAAGTAAGAATGGCTCTAATCTTTAACACTGAATATAATTCTAGTTTTGACACCTCAGAATACCATGTTTGTGAATGACAATCTTTAACCCTATGGATAAACTCATTTAAGAATCATTTAGTCTCACCAACATCTTGAGATTGCAAAACAATCCCAAAACCAAAAGAAAATATTATTTCTTCCACAGTTGAAGCCCTTGTCACATAAAAGCAGCATACAACTTTAAATGAATTATTTTTATCTCATATACCTAATAATTAATCGTAAATATTGTTTTTATTTCAGTTTTTGTGTACACAAAACTAAACAGATCTTAGATGTTAGATTGTATACGTAGATATACACAATGTCACAGATGTATTCAATTGTATGCACCGTTAATTATACAATATCCCATATATACAAAACACACTGATTTACACTGATATACACGTATGCAATTATACATAGATTTATATAATGTCGCAGATATCTACATGGCAGTGTTTATACACAGACTTTTACAGTTCTTGTCCATCACTTGATTGTGTGGTTTGTTTACAGGCCACCATCGCAGTATTGTTGTGCGGTTTCAGGCAACAAACATTTGCCTTTTTGTGCGAATTGTCTGAATAGCGGATGTTATCGGTAGGACAGGACATGCTTACTCTTTTCGCGAACACCTGGTGTCATCATTGTTTTTCTATGATCAATTCATATATTTTTGACCGTTATTTGCCTTTTACCACAAATGTAATCTGTTTCGGCGGATCATGGAGATCAGTTGTTCTGTTACGTTGACACTGGATATTATATAACTGTTCTTTCCCATCCATATTCATTGCGTATCTTGTTTTCGTAAGTAAAATAAGATGACTGGAAATATAATAGTAAATCCTGGTATTTATATTTCAAAATTATCAATATTTTTGTTCAAGGTGCGAGTATTTCACAATTTAGAAAAAAAGCCGTTACATTGCTACCATGAGTGTATTTGAAAAAGGAAACTGGAGGTCTTTCTTATGTAGATTTGCTAAACTCCGTCACAAACTTATCTTTACAATGCATGGTACAATTGCAAGGCTCTTCACATTTTCGTGGCTGTTGTCCTTAACAAGTGTTATATGAATCGCCGGCATGTTTTGAGAACATGTTGACTGTATTGCTGGACAGGTACATTGCTTATAGGAAACATACAGCTCTGAACAAAGATTAAACAGAACTGATTTGTGTAGGGTTTTTTTCTTCAAAGGGAGTACTAACAAGTAAATATTGCTTTGAGCTGCATCAGTAATATTGCAGCTATCCACGGCTGGAAAAATATATTATGAAAAAAAATCAATATTTGGAAATATTAATCTAGAAAAAAATGTTTTAATTTTTTAAGTATATGTTCAGTGCATTATTGCTCTCTCGGGTGAAAATATTTTTTCACAGCAAATGAATCCCCTTTATTATCACAGTTCTTCTCACTTGTTGCCATCTATGCAAACTGACTGTTGCCGTTGGACACGCACATATCCATCTACGTTGTATCTTGTCGCAGACCACTCGCTACCCATTTCTTCACATTGGTACACGCCAATGGGCGGGACCCATACATAGTCATACGTGATAACTGTCAGGTCACAACTTATCCTGGCTACTAGTAGAGAGGTTAGACAGAAATATATCCCCGGTACAAGGAAAATTGTGGAGGAATGAACTGTTTTGGTTCTGTTTATGAATATGTTTCTAAGCGTATTTTATCGCATAGCGTGCATTTGTCGCTAATTACAAACCGTCACCACTGACGAAAATTATAACCATCTAAAAGGTAAAATACGGAATAAGTGTGTTTTACAAATCTATTTGTACTAACAAGATATCAACATAATATATTACACTCATAACTGTTTAGGATCATGCAGTATGTTCAAGATTTATTGCACACAGGAATACTGCTGCCCTACTTCTCTAGTTTGATTGGGGGGTACAACGTTGTATAGCGTGTTGATAAAAGTTGATGGTCTTTATGGTAACGAACAAATGTGCATGTGGATACATTAAGAATTACAGCAAATGTCTGATGCGGCATACAAATACATGTATATTCTTTATTTTATATTCCTTATTCCAGTGTCACCCCTTATCGTAGGTGTCTGGCCCGTTCAGAAGCTGTTGACGTCCTTTTTACACTTTTTTACACATTGACAAGGCAAAATGACAGACGGTCATTTATGGAGTTATTATCGCTCCATGGCGTTTGTTATTCTCTTGAAAATGTTCCGTTATGAACAGTACATTTCTCACTTAACTCGTCAATCGAGACCGTTAGTTTCGCAAAGCGCCATTTTGTTACTTAATCAGCGTGTATTCTTTCTCTTCCAACAGCGGTCTTGAAGTTTTTCAAGAATATTTTTAGATAAAGTTGATTTTGTATATAATCTACATGTGTGACACAGAATTTTCGCGACGCTAAATACTTTTTGTTACTTTTGTTCATAATCTTTTGTGATTTTTCAACAACGAGACTACTTTTTAAGTCCCAAATTCAAAGGATGGTGACCCGCCCCTGTGTGTTACGAGGGGCGTTCAATGCGTTTTGCAACTTCAATATAAGACCATCTTAATTTTGCACTTTTATTTTTCAATATAATTATAATCTCCATTCACATCAATACATTTATTCAATTTGTCCCCCAGGCTTTTAATACCACTTTTATAGAAATCCGCAGATTGGCCCTCTAACCGGAACAGGAAATAGTCACTGGGGGCTAAATCTGGGCTGTAGGGTGGGGGATTTAACTGTTCGAATCCACATTCACATATGACGTCCTGTGCAATTCTCGACTTGTCAACCGGAGCGTTGTCATGCAAAAGTAGAATACCATGCGTTAACATCCAACGGCGTTTCTGGCTATTAGAGTTTCGCAATTCTTTCATTACATTAGCAAAATACTGACCATTGATTGTAGTTTTTTGGTGGCACGTAATCAATCAGTAATATGCCTCTTGCATCCCAAAATATGGTGGTCATTACCTTGCCAGCCGATGGTTGAGTGCGAAACTTCCTCGGAGGCGGAGAATTGGGGTGCTTCCATTGCATGGATTCCAATTTAGTTCCTGGGTCCCAGTGTAGGATCCATGTTTCATCACCTATCACCAGACGAGAAAGAAATCCAGCTTCATCAGCAGTATAGAGATCCAGGAACTTCCAGTTCTCTGATGGCGATCTTGAGCTCTGAGGTTTCTAAGTACCCATCTTGCAGATACCTTGGACATACTAAGATGCTCATGAATAATGGTTCCAACAGTTCCAACTGATACTTGGAATTCCCTAGAAAGTTCAGATACTTTCACTCGTCGGTCAGACAAAATTCTTATCTCTATAGCAACAATCGTTTCTGGTTGGGTGGTATCTAAAGGCCTGTCTGACCTTGGGTCATCGTCTATGGACCCTATACCCCTTTTAAACTGTAGAGACCAACAGCAAATTGTGGAATAGTCAGGAGCATCCTTACCAATCACTTTACCAATGCGATCATGGATTTCTTTTGCTTTGCATCCCTCCTTGGTGAGGAACTTTATTACAGCGCCTTGTTCACGTTTGAGAGAATGCATGATTGTGACCACCCTCAGGTGAATGAAGCCTTCACATCTAACTTATTGTTGTGACTGGAACTTGTTATGACACGTGTCAACGTGATGTTGACTAGTGTCACACCTAACACAAGTTGAGATAGTTTGTGTAAACACAAATGCCCAAGTTGCAAAACGTATTGAACGCACATCGTAGGTAGGAAGAATGAAAGTTTCAAGGTTTTACATTTGTAATAAAATAATTTAGATTTCCGGTAGACAACTACAGAAAAAGTATATAATAAATAGTATATTTCATGTGTCTCTTGAAATATAATGTTTCTCTCATCTCCTTTCCCCCCGTCACTGGATGAGAAAAACATGATATTTCACGAGACACGTGAGACACTATATATGCCTACAGAAAAGGAAACAAATGTGAAAAATGATTATAAAAGTTGTTAATGGATTCAAGCCTATGTGCCTGTGAATAAGGAAATCGAATGCAGGCAAAATACAACACAATTCAAGTCTTAACGAGACCTGTTTGCCAAACAAGTGCTTGTTCGTTGTTAGCCTAACAACTGCGTTATTCCAAGAGAGGTTAGGATGTCACCTGCTGTGTTCAGCGTTACGTGTGTTTGATTAAGGACATTCAATCTCTGTCAGCCCAGATCTTTGTTCACTGAATAAACACATTGGCAAATGTTTTGTGACATAACTAATTAAGATATTGAATCTGGTTTCGAGGAAATTTTCGGGCTAGTCTCCATGGTTTTGTTATGTTTTTACAAATATATATGAATATATATGCCGCCTTATCTTGCTGCATCTATACATGATGTGCTAGGACATGCTTTCACTATTGCTGATGGATTACAAATGAACACAGGTCATAATACATTTGTGCACGCCACACACACAAAGAACATGTGAAGTTCATAACTTGAATATTAACATGAATGTTACTGATCAGTTGGTGAGAGTTTATACATATCCGCTTAATCAAAATAATTGAAGCTATTCACGTATTTTACAAAAGTATTAAAGAATGAATTTACTTTCATTTCACTTGTCAGAGGGGTACAAAAAGTACCTGATCTAGACTACCTGTTGTTGAACTTTCATTTTGTGGAAGCCTCGGCGACTGAGTGGGTTATATCGCTGACTTTGTGTGCTGGCGATTAGGTGTCTTACTCTGGAGATGTGGGTTCGAATTCTGGACTCAGTACGATACTCTGTACTTTACTAAGAAAATATAACATTTCTTATCTTAGACTCTGTCCAATAGCTCTGGGTATCTTCAAATTGGTACAAGGTGTTGTACACTTCATTTGAAAACCTGGATTGGTGTTGACAGTCAACTTCAAGCTGCCAGTCATGATACGACACGTTATTTTCAGACTATGGACTTTGATCGACATGCTTTCTCTTGGACATTCACGGATGTGTGTGAAAAGAGAAATTTATTGAAATAGGAACCAAGTATATGGGACCCTTAAATAATATTTTAATGGACAAGTACATGTAAGGTCACCTACACCAGTCAAAATATGCGAACCCTCCGATGTTTGAGGATTTATTATTCTAGTCTTCAATCTTTATCATTTAAAATTGAGGAGCTCGGTTTCGAGCAGTACATTTATGCATTTTAAGGCGTCTCAGCGTATTGTGAGAGGAACGTGATGCGGGTCTCAGACGTTTCCACTTCGGTAATTATAAAACCCACAAGCATGAATAGGATGTGCCATACATGTACTTAAGGATGGTAAGTAGTATCCAGAGTGAATGATGTACATATAATATCTGTATTAAAAATATTGAAAATACAATTAAACTCAATCATCATGGAGGAGCATTTGAATAATTATATGTTTATTATAAAAAAAATATAATTACATATGGAACTTGTGTGAAAGTAATAATGTGGAGGTTAACTGTTCCAGGTTTAGCTGTTGTCATATTGTTGGCTGCTGTCATCTTCCTCAGGAATAACATCAAAACTTATGCAGGCGCATATGTATGGACATGTGAGTAGTGTTTAACATTCATCTGAACTCGTTGTACTGACAGCTATAGTCATCTGTAATCTTTGAACACATTGTCCTTTGAACATCAATAATTGTTATTCCCTAAATAGGTTTCCGTAAATCGACATGTAGACATATATCTATGTACATTCATTCTTTTCAGAAAGCGTTTCCAGCAACTCAGTTATTTCTTTTATATTCGAGCGAAAATGGACTATGTTTTACTATGACCTTATTGCTACTATTTACACCAGACAAGAAATCGCTATCGACTGTTGTTTTTTGGTTTCAGGCGAAAAAAGACATGTCAATGATTGTACACATCTGGCAGATCTACCAGGGGAAAGGGAATCAGGTAAGACGTGAAATTTTCTGAACACCGTCCTGTCGAAAGACAGACCCTCGCGCACGCATATGCACACACACACGCAGGCATAATGTGTATATAACCAATACGATATATTCTAATTAACTTAGTTTGTATTGAAAGGTTGAATATTATCAAAATAACCTGATTTTTTTTCCAGTTCCCCTTGGGAATGTCAGCTTCTCTGTGTTGCTGAGAGGTGTTTCCAGTATTATAAAAGGTACGGATAAGTGGTGCTCCTAATAGTATTTGACCTGAAAAAAGACCAAGCGCAATAGAACCATGTTTATGAGCGAGTGAGAGAGTTTGGTTTAACGCCGCTCTGGACAGTTTTCAGCTTGAGGAATTAAGTCCTACACGTTTACTATTTTGATGAAACTCCCAAGCTCTGACAATCCTGTTATGATAATCTGGGCAAATCTTGGATTCAAAACCAAGGCACGCCCATATGGTAGGGAATGTTGGGAATCACAGCAAGGTATTCGGCGTGACGGGAACACTTAATTATAAACCACTCGACTATCTTCACTGTCCCTCTCATACTGTATCCCTTACTTAACCAAATAACGACTCACACCAACACAATCAATGAATAATCCCGCGATCCCCATGTCATTTATTGTATCATAAGTTTGTTGGGTGTAATTGTAATTTTAACAGAAATAGAAACGCTGCATAACTGTCATTCAGGAGAAAGAACTTGAAATGAATTGGTCTTGATAACAAAACAAACATTGTTTCTTTTCAGTTCCATTAAAGAATGTCAGCTTTGATGTCATGTTGAGAAACTACGAAAAGAAATTAAACGGTAAGGTAACGTGTACAAGCTTAACCACTCGATAGCAGTTATGATAAAAACACTGAACAAAAAACAATAGCCCGTATTCAAATCCTTAAATTGTTACTGGAGACCGAATAACCAGATATTCTTCAGATAACTAGATTTTATTATATTTTACTAAAAACAACGCAAACGTGCATATTGACACAAATGATGTACATTGTGTAAATATACTCAAAAACAAAAGTTCCTGTGACACCAATATTTTAGTGTATTTTTCAAACAAGTAAAGTTTGGTTTTCAATATTGTAGTACATGTATGGAATCAAGTCACAAAACGCAACTGCTACAGAAAAGCATGCATTCCATTAAATAGTTGACTTTTATGCAAGCCCTATGCATTTCCCTACCCAAGAATGGGTTTAAAAACATATGCATTGTTTAACATCGTGCTGACAACAACCACTCAGTAAAACAACAACCACGCCTGTCCGAAAATGAGCGTCTGCGATCCGTTGGTATGCTTGAAGCAGGATCGAGTCAACGTGATGTTGCAAGACCATTTAACGTCCACATAAACACCATTTGGTGTTTATGGCAACGTTGGCAACAGACGAATGCAGTCAGAGACCATCCTCTGAGTGGCAGGCCACGCGTAACCAATAATCAACAAGACAACTGGATTCTAACAACACACTTACGAAATCGATTCCAGCCAGCAACAGTGACTGCAAGCATCCCTGGCCTTCGACGAATATCTTCACAAACCGAACGTCGTCGCCTCTGGTGTGCAGGGATTGTCGCCAGAAGACCCGCGAGACGTCCCATTTTGACAGGAAACCGCCGTCAAGCACGTCTGCATCGGTGCAGACAGCGTCAACGCTGGACAGCCATGCAGTGGGGACAAGTTCTATTTACTGACGAGTCTCGTTTTCACCCCAGCCACAGCGATGGACGGATTCGAGTGTACCGACGTTGAGGTGAACGTTACGTCAATTATTGTGTCATGGAAGAAGATCGGTTCGGGGGCAGAAGCGTTATGGTATGGGGTGGGATTACAGCTAGACAGTGGTAGAGGGAAATCTTAATGGACAGCGCTACCGCGACGAGATCATCGGCCCTGTTGTTCTACCGTTTTTGCGTCGTCGTGGCCAAGGCATTACCTTTCAACATGACAACGCCCATCAGTTAATAAGACAAGTTACACATTGCCATTACCACAAAGTTGTTTCTTAGTCGTCGAATATCATTATTTCATGTCAGATTTTGCTACAATATTACTTTTTTAGAACACCTTTTACGCTATTCCGGAATCACCCGAACATTAATGAGCGTATTCCCGTTATGGCGTGACCGGACTCCACAGAAGATGGTTATATACATGTAGGTTATCAAATGAAAATACATGTATCCAACATGGCGTGTATTCCTCTTTGTAATGCAGTCGGGAAGGTAAATCTGTTAATACACATGTATCGGACAATATACTTCGACTTTCGCTGTTGTGGTGCGTATCTAGTTTTTTTTACCAATTATCACAAATGAATTTATAGCATCATCAGAAACCTTTTCTCACATTTTATTAATAATATATAGTTTACTAAAGACAACGCAAAAGTTCACATTGCCACATTGCCACTGATAATGTAACACAAAGGCGTGGGTGAAAAGGCGTCGGTTTGATGTCGGATACAATTCCCTGTTTTGATGTATACTGTCCGTTCCCGTGTGTGTTTTTTTTCACGTGAACAACTGACTTGCCTTTTGCATGCGTTTGTGATGGTAGGTACTGGTTGAGCAGGATACGCGCACCTTTTCGGGAACACCTGTTACCAGGAATGGTTTATAGTGATTCATAAACACACATATGAAACAGCCGGAATCGTACAATGGACTCTGTCTTTAGCAGAGATTTCTTATAATTATGGAAAGGGTACTTTCGAACATATTAATTAAGAACCACAATGTACAAATCCTCTTTCGGCACCCTATATCACCAGATCTCAACGCCATTAAAGTACATGTAGGTTGATAGTGCCCAATATGTGATCCGTACTTTCGTCCATGCGCACGCAATTTTTTATGCTAATGGTGGACACCCGAGATGGTGAATGCCTTTCCTTTTTTGAGTAATGCTAACGTCTGACTCCGAAATCAATTTGTTGAAAATCTCATCCACGCACCACAGACATGAAAGGTGAGGTGAGTTGTAATGGGGTTGAACGTCGCGTTCAAGTTTATTGCACTTGTATAGCGACGCGCGCGTGTGTGTGTATGTGTGTGTGCCAACTGATCGATACCATGCCGCATCTTAACATGTATACCCCACTCAGACACAGTTTACTGACTCCGAGCCGCCCAAGTCCCTGGTTTCGCCCTTTAATACCGAGCGCCATGCAGGATAACAACAAGTACCATGTTTAAACGTCTTTTGGAATGACGCGGAGACGGCCCGCCGACATGAAACGAAACACCAGAACGCCCGATAGTGATTTGGTGTTTTTACTCAACACTCGTATACACTTTATCGCCTTGGTCAAATTGTTAGACAGCGCGCAGCAGGTACAGGAAAGCGTAAAACAGAAAAAACATTGTCATGTATTGTACATTATCGCCTGTGTAAATATTGCCTTCATGTTAGGCTAGCAACGCGGCCGCCTTCGGTCGTTTGGTTGCCGAGATGTTTAGTCAAAGTATAGATTTAGGAATCAACTTGACTTGTGTTGCGTGTTGCATTTTTTCCTCCCTGTGATCTGGATCTGTCAATACTTGTTCAGGTTTTCAATTGGAAACCGTCTGCAAATTGCTAATATGCCTTACTAAAGGTAATTTGAATAAGTTGCAGCACAATAACAAGTGCGATTAAGAAAGCGTTCGTGCACTGTTGCAAACTCATGTTTATCTTATTTTCACCACAGATTTACAAACCGCAGGACTATGGAAGGTGAATGATGTTAAACCGTGTGAAAAGGAAAACCAAGCAGGTAAATTCAAAACATCAACGCCAGAGAATACTCAGTCTTGACAATCTGCTGAAACATATTCCAAAGGGCGCAAAGGGAAAGCAGTATGAAAAATAATATGAATAGATCAATGAAAATCCCTGAGGTGTTCGCGAAAGGATAATATAAGCAAGCTCTGCTTTACTGATAGCACACACCATTCACACAATTTTCATAGAAAGTGCCAGTCAGTTGGGAGGCGTGAAAACTCCATGTTAAGTTCAAAGCAGGGGATACGTATCACGCATGATGTTGACAAGAGACGTGTCATATTCAATTAATTCCTCTGGATGTTAAGCATAACATTTCTGGAATGACTTAACCAGATGGTGAAACATGAGTCTTTTCATGCAATTTGGATAAAATGTACATTCTTTTAAATACAAAATACAAATCAAGAACTGTAGACGACATGAGCTGGAGCGTTTGGTATATTGACTTTATAATCCCTTAACAGCATTCAATACCAGAATTTATTGCAGATTAGCTTTATATCTGATAAATTTCATTTCAGGTAGAGCTTGTATGGAATCCATTTGCCGCGAACCCAAGCCTGCAACACCCGAAGAAAGCCTGAAAAATGTCTTGTCCACAATGTCAGGACTGAACCCCGAGGATCTCGGACTCTTAATGGGGCTGTTCCCAGAGCCCCCTACCGACAGGAGAGCAATGTTCGTCACTGCCGCTTCCAGCAACCACTACAATGAATCTCAGGGTCTGATCAGGAACCTCCATCAGAATGTCTTCCCACTGATTAATAACTACACATTTGTATATTATGATCTCGGATTGTTGCCATGGCAACGACAACAGGTGATTTCAGTAACGGTTGTTAACTATGAAACTAACTTCTAAATCTCAAATCCAGAAATTCACGGAAAGAATATGGTTGGATTGCTTCATCCCTCTCTTACAGTTAACTGAGTAGCATGTGAAAGGCTGCATATTTATAGGCACAAGTGTCACTTGCTCAACCTCTCCATGCAACGGCAAAGCAATATATATCCTAACACGACACGAACAATGCAAACGCGATAATATGTTCACTTTGGAATGAGAACAAAGCAACAACAACACTATATTTATATATTCATAGCACATCAGAAGCAAAACATACCAGTACATAAGTGAAGTCAAGTAAATGCCACCAAGTATCTACAAATAGGAACACATACACATATACACAGATATATATGAATTATACCAATATATCAGTAGCTACTGCAAAAGCAACCTCATAACTAACAATCCCTATTTATGCATGAAACTGACAATGGAATGCATACGCAAACTTTACCGGAACATCACATTTAACAGAGACCTGTACAATTGTGTTCACTTCGAAGGCAGTAATAGTGATGTGTTTTACTTTGGAAGACAGAACTGGCAAACAATTTGAGTGTTCGAGAAGCTATGTTGTTCATGTTACAAACACCCACATGCTAATTAGATTATCTTTCACTTCGCAATCCAAACAAATCACCGTCTGCAGACAAAAACATTAAGTACATGCACAAATGAAACATGACAACTAATCACTGTCCTCCAGAAAATGTAAACATAATCCCTTTTCGTAGTAGCCATACTATCGCACATACCAATGTCAAAACGTATTAAAGTAATTTCCAGTAGATATCCATTTAGAATTCCAACCAAAGTATTGGAGTGGGTGAATCTGGTTTGAGCCATAGTCAGCTTAAAGGTGCGACAGATTGCAAATAATCAAGCCTGGACAGGCAAACCAGTTAATAAAACAGCAAATTTCAACACCACCGCATCACCATGACATTGGTGTACATTAAAACAGCCCGACCCACTCAGTTAAATGTGTAGACAAGCATGAGGTACGCGTGGCCTATCATTTCCAAGAATCGAACCCAACCCATCCAAATGTTTGCACGAACGTACCAGATTTAAAATACATTTGATTGGTAACTATGTATCTAATGATAACTAATATGTTGAAACATTTCGATTATTTCGTAACTTTCTCTCATTCCTTCAGCTCAAGAAACATTGTCGTTGTGAAGTGAGAAGCTTTCCGTTGAAGTTTATGCCATCCAGATTGCAGAATCTCAAGTGCTACACGTGGAAGCCAATGATTGTGCAAGTATGTTCCTTGTTGTAATGAAACTACGTACATTCATTTTGGTAGAATCAATTGCAGGTTATATATGTCAAGTAGTAGCTACAAGATCGAAGCTGATGTCAAATGAACACAATTACATCACAAGATTAGTTCACGAGCGGACAATACAATGGAATTAGAATTAAATACTAAAAATTATCTTTCTGTAACTTTTCAAATGAACATATACCTACCTGAATGTTTATCTAAATGTTTCAACCACCATGTTGATTTACAAGCCACAGTCAACGGTATCATCATAAGACATCTGAGTTAAAACAGTAGTCTATTTTACGATTCCGACTTTATTATAAGCATGTACGCATCACTATAACATAGTCATGATAGGAGGTGTTCGCAAAGAAGATGTCCGTATTTTGCCCCACGGAGGGCACCGTCACAGACACATGCAAAGACAAGTAAATTGTTTATATAAACAAAAACGTAAACATATGGTACAAATCAAAACAGGGAATCGTGTTCGTCACTCATGCATCAAATTTTGACATGTCCTTCACATCCTTCACCATAATCACGCTTTGAAAGCTGTATTTCGGGGCCAAGAATGGGGTAATCCTGATCAAACAACATTTCAGCAATAGTAACTCTCTATAAAGGTGTCGCAGAAAGAGCAACAACCAAACCAAATCAACCAAAATATACCATCCTTAAAGGTTGAAACCATTTTCCTTGCTATTGCAAATTTTGTCAAACGATAAATTGGCCAAACAGCATATTCAACTACATGTACAAGAATACCTTGAAATGGTGATAGCAGTATCTCTATCTTGCGAAATCTTGATGATCCATTTTAATACTTCGTGAATTGTGAATGTCTCAGAAAAGGTTATATATTTGTGTTTTCAGGCTAACCTACCTAAAGCAGACATATTGGTATGGATGGACGCCTCTGTTAGATTTTCAAACAATGTCATCAAACCCCTGCTGGATGACGTAGAAAGACGTGGCATGGTCATATACCCAGGTGTGAACTCGGTGGCACAACATACTCTACAGGTTGCAATGAAGTACATGAAAGAGGACATCTGCAGCCTCGCTCCAGTCCTTGAACACCAAGCAACATTCATGGTGTTTCGGAACGAACTGTTGATAAGAGAGGCTGTTGTCAAACCCTGGGTGGCCTGTGCCATGAGTCCAAAGTGTATGTGTCCCCGAGACCCACATCTTGACTTGCACTGTAATATTTACATCCACAATTACAATAAGTGTCATCGATTTGATCAGTCAGCTATCAATATCATACTTACCAAACTATTTCGCGGTCGCACATCTACATTTTATTCGACATACGGCATGCACCCAAAAGTAATGTTAATGCGTGATCAACGTGATAATTACTTTCATGAACTAGAGCGAAAAAGCAGTTCAGGAAAAATATGATAATTCATTGACAAGTGGCCATCTCGTCTCGTTGGACCGTGTTATGTAGGAGCAGTTGCCATAGGAGCGTTGGTCCATTCTGACATGTTGGATGTTTTTAATGTATATTTATCAGTAAATTAAATGTGTTTATGATGGTATAAGACCGTCTTCGTAGTCTGGTGGATAGAGACTATGCCCGGAGAGCGGAAGGTCGCTTGGCATTATGGGGACAAAACAAGGACTGATTGGCTCGGAGTCATTATATCCAAGTAGGTTAGTTCTATAAACATAAAACATCAGGCAGAATAGGCATTTTCGATTAGCAAACGAAACAGCTTCCATTGGGCGTAACAGAAAACATAGCTGTGAAAATGGTATGAATGCATCACTTTGAATCAGTGATGACACCAGGTGTGTACCGGTAGCACCCGCCACTCATACAATTTGCTTCTGAACGTTTCCATGACACCTCGATAATGGCATAAATATTTTGATCAATATCCTCGAGCGTCCACACATGCCTGGACATGACGCCTTATCAAGGACGTAAGCCTCATTTTGGCGTCATTTTGACATACGGTTCCAGCTGCTGTAGGATTTCCGGCAGATGATCCAAGAGATATTCTATCGGTTAGAGGTCGGGTGAGCGGGATGGCCAGGATAGAGTACGTTATTTGTGTTCAGAAAATCCTGGAGAATTCGAGCAGTGTGCGGCCTGGAATTGATCTGTTTACACAGTATCTATTCTGGACAAATGGCTGCAGAACGACATCCCTGCAACGTCGAATTTACACGGATGATGAAAAGACGTGTCTTCTTTAACCACAAAGCCCGCCCCACACCATAACCATCGTCTTCAGAAGGGTTAAACTCCTAGAAGAATCCTTGAGCCAATACTTCACCTATCCATCGATTCGTCCGCATCCGCATCAGGTTGGAACACAAGCTGAATCTAATCTCCTCACTGTACATTATCCTTAATAAATCAGGTAGCAGCCAACGTCGCATAGTTCAAGATCACTGACGTCTATTTCGCTGATGATGGCGGGTCAAGGCTATTCCACGAGGGGCTCTGTAGGCCCGAATTCCCACAGGACGTCGTAATCGTCGTGACACTGTGTGGCTGCTGATGAGGCATCCCAGTCTATGAGCACCAATGACGTAACCGTCAGGACGCAGTTGCGCAGATGACGGTCCCCTTGTAGGGTAGTGACACCTGGTCTACCGGTTCGTGCCATGCTCCTTGTGTGCACAGTCTGGCAATGGTCAGTCGACTGCACCTAAGTGTTCTTGCAATATGGTCCTGTGCAGCCCACATCAACGCCATTCCAAGACAGCTCTCTCTCTATTCACCTGATAACCTTGACATTCTTCTCACATGCTATTTTGTTATTATTTTTCTCGATGTATTTTCTCTTCTCCTGCTAACATGTTTTCTCAAACTGCACGGATTTCTAACAGTCAGACGATATTGGGTGTGTTGGGGTAGTCGTTGTCAATAATAATTCAGTTTCCTTTTCTCAAGGTTTTAAAAAACCTTTTCATAATCTAACAATGATTGCTTTCTTTTGTTCGGCAGTTCATGTTGAATGCATTGTTCCATATTAAATAAGGAAAACATTTGTGGCTTCATTAAAAAAATAAACCGTATTTGGTAAGGTGAGGCAGTGTAACATATCAGAAACCAATCTATAACAAGTGCGTTGTGAAGAAAAGTTTAGCATCAGTACTGACATACAATTGGGGGCACGGGTGGCCCAGTCGTCTGAGGCGACGCGATTCGCTGTGCAGAGTTGCGTCCCTTGGGCACGCCAGAAACCTATAGCTGTGGGTTCGAATCCCAGTTCGCCTCGATTATGTTTCTAGGTTTGCGAGTACCATATCCGTACTCGTGGGTTTCACCGAAGTGGTAAACGTCTGAGACCTGCATCACTTCGGGCTTTCCTCCCACATTAAGTTGACACGCCGCGATATAACTGGAATACTGTTAAAAGCGGTGTTAAACCCAACTCACTCACTCACTCACATACATTGGTGTACATTATGTGATCTACGCTTATATTTTATTATGACAATATTTTGTTGTGTATTACTTATAAGGCTACGAGATGCAGTAACTGATTCATCTCCAACGTGGTGATTGTATCATGTTGAGAGCAGTATGCCACGCGTATGAGGGGGTGACCTTTTTGTTTTGAAAAATTGTCAGATAACTGTGCCTTCAATGGGGTCACCGCGATATGCTCATGTCACAGTGGAAAGTTTTTTCATTACTACAAAATCCCGAGTCTCTACGGCTCACGCGGTGACTTTTCAAACAAACAGTGTGACATCAACATATTCCACACGCTAACATGAATGGTAAGAAAAATAACTTTGCTATTTTGCTTTGTGAATCAAATGAATATATCTGAAGATGGGTTGAGTAAAGAAAGAATAAAACCGTGCAATAGGTCTATCATAAAATCAAGGTTTATAGGTTGATGTAAAATCCTTGGTGGTGAAGAGCAAGATTAAAAGTATTTTGCACGATTAATATACATGTGGGCTGTCAAGACTGAAAGGGGTTTGTGGTGCCTTTCCCGACAGTGTTTATGAATGACACTACATGAGAAAAGTCATAGTAAAATAGCTACATGTATGTACTGGTGATATTCAGTTGATTCAACTTTTGCTAGTTTTTATCTTCAAGAGCCGACTCACTGTCGGATTATCAAATACTATTGAAACAAAACTTATTTTAATACAGGATTTGACTAAAATTCTGATTCTGGAGAGAGTTATATATGTGGATGACGTTGGCCAGTATGTGCGTACATTGAGCAACAACGTGCATATTACTTTTACAATTTGCCTTATCGAGCTCTGCACATGTCCCAGACTTAGTATCGCCAGGCTTCCATCAATGGTTTATGACATGTAGCTAAGTGTTACTTCAACACAGAAACATGCATGTGACATGATGATTAATGACCATACATTACTTCCTGGCTTGGACGCTCACCTAGAAACCGTAAAAGCTGTAAATATACTGTATCATTAAAGGCGAATATTAGTTTATCTTTTATTTGAAGATGGGGTTTTTATATACTAGTATTTGTAAAATATCTTTTAAATAAAACGTACTGACTATTTTGATTTTTTTCAATGTCAGCGTTTTTGTAACCTTTAAAAGGACTTCTTCAATTTTGTATTCTCAAGTTCGATATGCATATCTTGTTATTTTCTTGAAAATGTTTAGTGATTGTGCTGGGCAATCTTTTTACGTTTTGAATGCAGTACTCATCAATTCTGAATATCATTCTAAGGTGTTATCATCCATAAGTGCTGACGTATTTATTCATAGTATTGTCAGTGTCGGCGCAGTAATCTCGTGTAATCAATAAGGTAACACTGAATGATTTTGAATAGACTACACATCGTTATAAACATATAAACTGTAAAACCAAATCTTGCGTGTCAGGTTACGAATCTCATACAATCAAATAATCTACTAAAAACTGTATGTGGTCTGCTCTAAGAGTTGTTCACTTCACTTCAACTGGGCCCATCAGAATTTCGTCTCTCAATATTTAATAATCAACCGCACGTACTATAATGTGTCTGAGAGGTACTCATGTTAAACTGTGGCATGATATCTCAGTGGGTTGGCCCTAGTCCATATAGGTACAAGCAGCCACACATAAAGAATCGCGTACATGTAGGTCGTAACATGTATGAATAATCTTCATGAGGCGTTAAAACCACCTCACCCCACAGTTTGTCCTTTTTGATAATGCCTTTCACCATCGACGCGGGTGCCTTTGCGGTTCACAGAGGAAACCCAAGAGAGATAATGTTCTGGCGTCCCTTCACATTAGGTATGAAGCACCAAACCGACTAAAGCACATGTCCAGTCACAGCCACCTTATTGAAACTGCTGGGGAACTCTTTCTGGTTTTACCTATCTGCAAAGACACGTCACGTTTTGTATTGTTTAATTTAGCACATCAACACGTACACGACATAGTTCACAACGTTATAATCAAATACATTTTCACATTATAATACCGCATCATCGCATCATAATATTTGCAACAGTAGGTACAATTAATCTAAATTCATTATTTTATGTACAGTTTACACTTATTAATTGTTAAATGTCCTTAATCGGGAGAGGTGTTTAAATAGGATTAAGCTGTTCACCAATCCCATTCCTGTTTTTTTTTAAATATATATTGTTTAAATCATACATTTTCACGTTTGCTTCCGATAATTTATTGATCAATCTGTTTTTAGACATTGATTAATCAGTACAAATGTAAAGCGATCAACGCATGTGAGACGTAGAAACGTGCACTACTACCGTGTTCCAAACTGTGTGTGATATACTACATCAAGGACATCTGTTCCTCCTTTATGCAGTGAGTGAGTGAATTGGGTTTGACACAGCTTAAACCTCCAGCTGAACAGAATGACATATCTCGTTTTCATCATATAGTTTCGTCGATAAATATTTTTTTTGGAGGACAGTTGATTTGCTATCATGGATGTTTGGAAACGCATTCTATTGAATAATCAGAATCTTTCCCTTTAATAAATAACACTTTCCAACGTCATTTTGTTCAGAGTGGCAGTTATTTCTGTTCGTGACTTTATTATGACGTCACAAATGAAACATGTAGAACAATTCGTGTCGAGTGATTACTAATGTACACTAGCTATTCTCACCTCTGTATATATACTTAAGTATCGGGTTTCGAATGAAAATTGCAAGTATGAACAGAAGGTTTAACTGTTACATCTGCATATGCATACATAAATACATGAAAACATATTCATGACGCTTCACCTGCTATGTGTGACATGGCGACATGATACATGTATGGTTTATGAGTCATTTTACGAGAGCATCGTTTGCTCTGTTAATACCCAATCTCATTTAGAAAGTGGTCGAATATAACAAATATAACATTTGTTGAATTTTGCCTTGTCGGCTTATGGAGCGATTTTCAGTCTGTGTTACTTTGTGTTACGTTTGTATTGGGTGACCCTGGCAAGCATGTTTTAAGTTTATTGACAATGTACGTAATGGTTTCAAGTGATACAGCAATAATATTCGAGGAAAGATATGTCGTGAGAACTTGTTTGATACATAAATCAAAATGATGTTTCCAGT